AATCATACTACTTTCCAGTTGCGGTCGAGGTTTTCAAGTTGAGAAGAAGACCTGGGTTATCCGTGTCTTAGTGACAAGAAACCATTTTTCGGCAGCATAACTTAAGTCGAGAAAAGCTATATGTCGACAAGGATTTCTGAGTTCGATTCCAAGGGCCCATCAACCACACGGCGGAGTCAATGAACTATTGTACAGTCGAATTTTTAAAACCAAGGTCTCTAAATCAAGAAGAATACCGAAAGTTGGCTACAATTTGGCAACGGGAAGTCACATTCCGATTCAGATTCCAAACTACAGCTTCAATTTCACATCGTTTCAAAACAGACTCGACTTCGCAACAAATGAGTCATCCGCAACTCAAATTGACAAGGAGTTATTCTTTCAGAGTCAATTTTTCAACTCCACCGAACGGAAATTTGTGTCTTTTTATCTTTGTCCTATTTTTCGTTCCACGAAAAAGAACAAAGAGAGGCAGCTGTAGACACTTATTTTCGTCCATATTTTTTTATTTTATTTTATACATACATATATATATATATATATATATATATATATATATATATATATATAGTTTGCAAACAGTTTTGAAAATAAGTATATATATATTTTTAAAAACATTTTGAAAATGTATATAATATATAATTTTTAAAACACTTTTGAAAACTATATAATATAGTTTTTAAAACATTTTAGAAAATATATATAATATATAGTTTTGAAAACATTTATATATTATATAGTTTTTTAAAAACATTTTTGAAAACTTATATATATTTTTAAAAAACATTTTGGAAAATATATATAGTTTTAAAATAGTTTTTGAAAATATATTATATGGTTTTGAAAAGCATTTTTAAAATCATATATAAAATATAATTTTAAATTTTTTTTTAATTTTTTTATTTTTTATTTATTTTTTATTTATTTGTTATTTGTTATTTATTGTTTTATCTTTCTTTTTATTTATCTCGTTTTAGGTCCATTCGGTGTTCAAACAAGTCCAAGGGGCAACCCAAGTTATAATTCAGGTCCAGAACAGGGGCCTGACCCAGTCCAGTGTAGTTTAGGGTTTACAAAACCCTAGTCATGCAAGTCAAGGGTGTCACATAGGGGGAGCCAACAGAGTCGCACGAAACGATTGGCCAAGATATCCGGGCTGACCCATCCCGGGATGGTCGGTCAACCACAAACAGTTCACAACAAAATAACCTCAGAATATCCGAGATCACCCTAGAAATAGTCAGAAACAGACCCCAATGGGGCTATATAAATACCACGGATGAACAAAACCCAGGGGAATGGAGATCGAGAGCCGCAAACCCACAGCAAACAAAAAAACCAACGACAACACACGAAACATCATCACAACCAAAGAACCATCAACACGATACAAAAAACGAAAAAAAAACAGTAAACACAAGAACCCAAGCCCCAAGTAAACACAAATAAGGTAGCCACGTAAACACAAAAAGCCACTCGGAGAAGAAGTCCTCAGAGAATTGGAGAACCACGTCGGAAAATGTGAAAACCGAACAGTTTTCTTTAGATATGCGTCGTTTGGGGTACTTTTAGGGGAATTGGGCTTCGAATTATTGTTCATGGGGTAGAGACGAGCGTTTGGGGAATGTTTAGATTGTCCGGGCGCTGGAGACGGTGGTTGGAGCAGCGGTCGGCGGCTTGTTGAGCGGTGGTTGGCCACCGGAGGGGTGGCCAGGTTTTCGCCGGTCTATAGATAAGGCAGAGAGAGTTGTTCTCTCTTTCTTAGAGAGAGAGGGTAAATGTGAGAAAATGAAGGATTTATGGAATTTTTTTGGTTTTATAGAACCCACCGACCCGACCTGCACACGACCCGATCCGACCTCAAAATTCGCGTGTTTCAGGTGAAAATGGGGAATTTGTGTTTTGGTCTCCCCATTTCCTTCAGTATCGTGTTTTGGTCCCTCTATTCAAGTTGGCCCCAAATTCTTTGTAAATTGGCCCTCAATTTCAAGTTTTATTTTACATTTTCCCTTATTATTATTATTATACATATATGCACGTTTTTTATGTTTTATTTTTTATTAATTTTTCCTTTTTTACCTTTTGTATTTTTTATTGTTTATTTTATTTTGATTTTTTAAATGCTTTACTTATACATTTTATTATATATATTACTATCATTCTTTTTCTTTTATTTATTTTCCCTTTTCTTTTTTTATTTCCCTTTATATTTATTTTATTTCTTTATCTATTTTTATTTTATTCTTTTTTTTATTTATTGTATATATTATTATCATTTTCTTTGTTTTCTTTGTTGTTTTTTTATTTTATTTTCATTTCTTTTATTTTCTTTCTTTTATTTTCTTTATTTCATTTTTTTCCTTCAATTTTAGTTATTCTCGTTACTCTTTTTTTTATCTAACACTTTTCTTGCTTTTTTAAAGGGATATTTTTTCAATCGCTCAGAAGTAAGTAATTCGAATCGGGTTTTTAAATTTAAATTTAAATTTTCTATTTTCGTAATTAAATATAACCGACAAATTAATTGGTATCGAAAGGGCGGTTCAAGGGTGCTAATCCTTCCTTGACCGTAACCTACTCCCGAACCCGACACATTTCTGGTAAAATGGATATCAGGTAAGATGGTGTCCGATCTACCTAAATATTTTTAAAGTGATCGGTAGCGACTCTAACCCAATTATTCAAGTCAAAGCTCAATTCTAGGCCCACCCGAAGGACGGCCGCGATAATATCTTCAAACAAAGTCAACGGTTAACTATCAACGAGTAAATGATCATTCCGAGTTAAATTAGTTTGGTTCCGGTTTAGATTAGTAGTTTAGGTCAAATCGGTTTAACCCCTTAAACCAATTGGATCAATTTGCTGGAAATTATATGCATAGCGAAGACGTGTGGGGATGCCCTCTGGTGACAACAATTACACCAAAAATTCCAGTTTTGCAAATCATGGAATAAAGTTCTTTTCTTCACAACTCGCAAACTGCAACAAAGTAGAAGGTGGTGTGAGGCTCGACTAGATCGAGACAACGTGAGGAAAACAGCGTGAAAACATAAGAAAAAAATGAACCCAGAGTTGACCTTTTAGAATTTATAGCTTAGTATATGGGTAAATTGCAGGGTGTGTCCTTGCACCAATTAGGGTTTTCAAAAATGGACACTAGCTTTAATTCTGAATCCAATTTAGTCCTCACTTTTATAATTTAGACACCAACATTTTAAATGTTTAACTTTAAACCCCATCTTAGGGTGTGAAATAATCATTTATGTTCAATGATTTGAGTTTAACTTCACATATGAATTATTTTAAATAATAACATTTTAGATTTAAGTTATTTATATTTTCTTTTCATATTTTTTTCCATTTAACTGTTAAATTTGATGAGATTTTTTGTAAGGAAATAAATTTGACAAGGTTGAGTTTCTTAATTTTAAATAAAATTAGATTTATATGTTGTGAGATGCACGAATTTTATTTATATTTTGTTTATACATTTTCAAATTTTTTAATTTTAAATAAAATTAGTTTTATATCTTGTGAGATGCACTAATTTGCTTTATATATTTTCAAAATTAGTTTTATGTGCATGATGATATGAGAGATGAATTATATTGTTTTTTATCGAGTTCAAGGATTAAATTGAATTTTTTTACTGTTCGAGGGTTTATTTGATTTTCTTTTAATATTTTAAATTTAAAATATAAAAATATTCAAAAAATATAAATGTAATAATATCAAAAATCAAAAATCAAATTACTAAAAATATGAATATATATTAAAAATATTAAAAAACTATTACAATTTTTAAAAAATAAAAATATATTCCAAACTATAAAATAATAAATTATTAAAAACTATATATATAATATTTGTTTCAGATCTTTGTGAACATGTCATGTCATATATTGTGTTATACTTGATATTTTATCATTGGGATATCACATTTGATACTTTTCCATTTAATTCCAAGTTTTTATGCTTAGATTGAAGTTGTTAACAATGAGAAGATTCAATTGAAGACATTCTGATTTCTTTCGAGAACAAGCACCGCAGAAAACTATTTTATATCTTTTTCTATTAAAGGTATCTAAAAAATCAAATAAGCCTTAAACTTTCAAAAATATCAATTTAGCCCTCAAACTCGACTAAAAAATTAATTTAGTCTATTTATCACGTCATCAATCACAATGGATCACTACGTCAGCATCGTGTATTGTCGCATCAACTCTATGAACTATCAATTTAGTATTATAATAGTCAACGACAGAAACGTCAAAATGACACATTGAGGTTTTTTTTGCCAAGGTTGATGACTACATTAAGTGCAAAATAATTCGAGGCTCATTTTATTTTTTTTAAAAGAAATTTGAAGGCCTTACATACCATTAAGCCATTAATAAACTAGGTTTAACTTATTGCTTTAGTAAAATTATAGTTTTTAAAAAATTTCACTTAAATTCCCTTCAGATTACCTATTTGAATCACTTTTGATTCAAGTCATTTGGGTCCGTTTAATCTTGAGTTTATTTTAATTTTGGGTTTAAGTTGGATAGACTCAAATTGTTGAGGTATTCAACTAAAAATTGACAAATCTAATGTCACATCACCTGTAAAAAGAGTTGGCTTGCTCCGTAAACAATGCCAACCGACACATCAATCTTGCTTTGCTTTTGATTTTACATTCAATCCATGTCAATTCAAAATGAATATTCGTGGCCACAACTTGTTCAATCAAAGCGTTGTGTTCTACTATTTCAAAAAAAAAGGCGTTGTTTCTTCTCGTCTATGTTTTACTCACTCGGATACAAAGATAAATAAATTTACCATAAAACCACGTATTAAATTTATATATAGTTTTTTAGCTTATACTATTTTCGTTAAAACGAGCGTATGTTTTCGACATTGAGTTGCTTGCTTTACCCATGCAACATAGCTACTGAACGAGAAGATGAGGCAATATGATGGAGTCATACCTATATAATCTCAAAATGCATATTACATAATTAAATAAAACCATTTTCAACTCGTATTATTCAAAGGTTCATAAGAATACAACATTCAAATTCAAAATGCCAACAATCCTTCGTGTCATCCGGGACGAGGTGTGTGCCTATCACAGAGATTATTACCATCTACATCGACCCACATGAACCAAATTCATAAATAGAAAAAAGAAAGGAAAATCGATGATTTCATAACCTTAGAACTTCAAGCTCCACTAGTTTATCGGCTCACCTTTATAGACAAACTTCATGAGACAAGTCTCTATTCTCTCGGTTCACCTTTCAAGAAGCTCCGGCGGTCTTCTTATTTGGCTCGAAAACATACTTGATAAGAGACTCCTTAATCGAGAGGAGCTCGGGGAATTCCATCTTCAACTTGTTGGCATCGAGCTCGTTGTTGCTCCTTGGGGCAATGATAACCTTAGCCTGCTCCTCGAGATTGAAGTTCTTCCAGGTGAAGCTGGGGTCAATGTAGTTCCTGTACATCTCCAAAATCTCATTGTGACTCACCACTCCAGGGTTTGTGAAGTTCCAAATTCCAGTCAGGTTCCTCTTGCCCATCTCGATGGAAATGGGAAGAAGTTCGTCAAGGATAGTCATCGAGTTAGGGATGTTAACCACCTTATCGTATCGGGCAATTTTCGTGATGAAGTTTCGGGGATTGGTTAGATCCGATGAAATAGGCATCCTAACTCGCAATGTACACACATTATCATAATTCTTGAGCAATTCCTCCACCTTTTTCAGTCATCAACAAAGATCCATTATTAGAACAAAAGCACAATTTCAGATCTAGATGGTACTAAACTACAACAAAAGAAAGGCAAACCCAGATTCATGAATCCTTGCCAAAATACTAGAATTTACACCCAAGTCCAGTGTGATCAAATACCAACAGATGTAAGCAATGGATTCAAAAACATGAAAAATAATAACATTTTCAATAAAGATTAGAACTTCATCTCATGTAAAACCTTCAGACAAACAATGAAAATTCATAAATCTATCTAATATAGACAACCCGACAATATTTCCTTGAAATCACAAGATCTGAACAATCCTAGGCATTGACAAATACGATGGAATCTACATGAGAAAAAACAGATCAAACTAACAAATAATTAGATCTAATAACATTGTTGAAGCTTGCTTACCATGGCTTTGGTCTTAGAATAAAAGGAACCGGTGAAATTTGGAGTATCCTCTTCCTTAAACCCGATACCTGATCCGATCGGATGAGCCTCATCGTACTCAAAGATGCAACCCGTAGCATAGTTAATCAAGATGAGGCCTTTTTCTCTGCAAACGTCGGCAAGGGTAAGAGTTCCGACCACATTGGTTCTGATGGTCTCGGCCTTATGGGATTCGCACCAATCGACGTTCGGACGGCCGGTGACACCGGCAGCATTGAAAACATGGGTCGGATTCACGGAGGCTATGTCCGACTCAAGAGAAATCCGGTTCTCCAAACGGCCTGAACCGTACACGTAGTCGATTCCCTTGGATTCGCAGAGTTTACCTAATAAGCCGCCGATCCAACCGGTTCGACCGTAGATCAGAAACTTCAATGGTTTCTCCGAAGAGCCATTAGCCGGAAACCCCATCACTTATTTATTATTAGTATTATTTGTGGGTTTCTAAAAGAGAAATGCAGGGTTTGAATTTCAGGGATTGAGCACCTCACATATATATAGGGGCAAATGGTTGGGATAATGCGTTGTAAAAAAAAATTTCTCCAAATAATCTATTCAAGTAATTATTTCTCAAATTAGGATGCTTTGAACATTAATTTAGAAAAGATCTCAAGATTATCTCGCATCTTCATCCAATTCTTTTCTTTTTTTTTTTTGCCCTACAAAGTTAAAATACATTAATTATAATTCGTCTTCCAAGAAAAAAAAGAAATCGTATAAATTATCATACGTCTTTATCTTGAGATTGTAGAGAACACTGTAATTCAAAAAAATAATTTAGTGAGAACTTTATACAAGAATTTTTTTTTTCCAAATCTATTTGGGCAAGAAAACCCATATATAGAGAGAAATAACAATGCCATTATTATTTTCATATAAAAATAAATATTTGTCTAATTATGTTTTAGTCACTTAACTTTGTTGAAATTTGGGTAAATACCTCTCTACTATTACAAATGTTATGAATAGGTCTAACTTGATAATACATATAAGAGAAGGAACTAGTATAAAACATTTGGAGATGCCAAATTGCATAAATTCAAAAAAGTGTTTATTAAATATTTAAATTTAATTTAAAATTTTATAGATTGACTTATCTAACATTTAAATTTATAAAAATCAAGATTCTAACTGGATTAAAATATCTGGGGAGGCTAAACCTTTCCGATGCTCCATTTTGTTCTGTCACACTAATATTTGGTGCAACTAAAGTGAAAACGTAATTTGTTGGGTCTAATGATATTTTTAATTTTTAATATTTTATAAAAAAAATATTTTAGTCACATGACTCTCGAAAGAAGGATGAACCAAGAAGCAAATTTTGGAGATTTGGATTTTTTTTTTAAAAAAAAAAGAAGACCGATTTGAGACATACGATCTAGAAATAGATCTAGTCTTGACCTTAAACCAACCATTACCATCTATGCAACCCTAGTGATTTTCCAAAAGGAAAACTTTTCCCGGTATGAAGAAGTTAGAGAGAAGTCGGAGAAAATTCTCTCTTTACAACCTTTTTTTTTTGGAATTGTTCTTTGTTGGTTTTAGGTCCGGTTCGGGTGCGGTTTGTACCGATACAATGTTTCGTAAAGATATGAATAAAAATTCGAGCACTTTTCCTCCATTCCGTTGGCTTAATTGATTAAGTTCGATTAAGTTACGATGGGTTTTTTACGAGGCTCTCATTTCATTTCAGAAAAAAAATTATAATCCTATCTAAAAAAAAAGACTCAACCTGAATACAAAAGAAACCAAATAATATTTGAATCCTCAATGAATCTTTATTGATCAATTAGTATGAGAATAACATATTGAATTCATACTTTCATAGGTATGACTCCTTTAGACCACTTTCGTAACTATTTATTGATTTATTTTAACTAAAAAGAAACTAAATAATATTTGAGTTCATAATATAAAATAATAAATCCTCAATGGTTGGCACTCAAATGCCATGTTATTAGAATTTTTTGAGAGAATTTTATTATCTCTTGATAATTTTAGTTCAAACATTATAGTTTAAATGGATAAGTGAGTTTAGATTTAGATTTTTTTTTAAATGTTATATTATTAAAAATTTTAAAAGGAAAAGTTTTTTCTTGACAATTTTATTTATATTTTCTTTACGAAAATTGATTAAATATAAGGGAAAATATATTATATTTTCATGAGTTTAATATAGTGATTATTACATTATTTTTATATTATATTTTGTATTTTATTCTTTTTCTTTATTATTTTTAATTTTAAATAAGAATCGATGTTCTTGTGACACATTTTTTATGCTCTTGTGATACGTGTTTTCTCTGTTCTTATGGCTCGATTCTTATGGTTTTTGGTATGTTTTTCACATACATTTGTGGTAGTTTTGAACTCGAACAAAAACCATCACGCCATTTATTTTTTGATTGGTTTATCTGTGATCAAGTATAATCAAATCCCTTCTTTGGTAAAAGGTTGTTGCCGATATAATCAGAATTGTGTAGCGAAACAACCTGTTAGATTGTTTAGTTCGCTCACCATTCTTTTATCACTTTATAAAGCGTCTCATCTGATAGAGATAAAGAATTTTTATGAAGGTTGTTGGGTTGTTTTGATGTTAGTCATCATTCTCAATTAAAGATTTTAGTTTTTTCTTCATATTTTAGGTTTAATATTTCATGTTTGTATGAAAAAAAAATTGACTATTATCTCCAATTTTTCTCTATATTTTGGTGTGTTGTAATTTTGATTCCTTATTATTAATGAAATTCAATTCTCATTATTTTAAAAAAGATGGTGTTGCACGAACCAATTTATCTCAGTGATTGAAGGAATCATTGTTGTTCCTAGAGATCACAGGTTCAAGTCATTGTGTATGTAGAAAATCCCGCTAGGAGACTTACCTCTTAAATCCAGGTGTGCGACTTGGGTCTGTCCAAATTAGTTAAGGAGAAACCTTGGAAACCGAGAGGGCAACCAAAAAAGAAAATAAAAACTTATTTTTATTAATTTTATAACAAATTTCTAACCTAATTTGATGGTTAAGTATTGGATTTCAACTTGTCATATAAAAAAGAACATGATATAATTTACTCCCAAGTATATGAGGTCAGGGAGGACGTAAGTTGTATAATTCTTAAATGTCATCATTATGATTTTAATAAGAGAGGAATAAAAACTGTTTGGGACCAAATCTAAAAGCTGACCTATTCTCATATGTAATGAGGTAAGGTGGAGGTAGGATAGTAGGCTGCCCCTAACGCCAGGTTGAGAGCAGCTTCCATGGGATACCTCTGCTAGTCAAAATTATAAATTGTCCACCATGGGACTCGATCACACGACCACAAGGTTAAGAGCTTTGCGCTCTATCAACTGAACTAGACGAACAATTCGAGACCAAATCTAAAAATTAATATTAATGTGAATTAAAGTAAACGTTACTTGTTAATGCATCATAAATTTAATTGATAAAATATTATGATTATTTAACTAATAGTAATTTAGTATTTATAGTCGTTTTTTATTGATAAAACTGAAAAATTATGGGTTTTCTTGAGCAGATCTTATCTCTTGGAACACTGAATTGATTTTGGGTGTGTCGGTTTGGTGTCTCCTATTTACTATTCTTTTTCAGTAGTCTACGAAAGTATGAAGACATCACATGGTCAAACTGACACGTGTTTCATGATGATTCGGCCGTTGGGTGTAGTGTAAGTGCATGGCGTTTTATTTATTGATTTTGAATCTTTGGATCTAAAAGGAAATTTGGAGATTATCAGTAGGTTCCGAAACCTTATTCATCATAAGCACCTGCCGACTTCTCTTGCGACCCGCATTTCACAACACCGTCCGTACGGCTTCCTTCCTCGCTTAAAGCATTGGGGTGAAAAAAATTTCGTAAAAGATTCATATGTTTTTAAAAATTCTAAAATTTGTAATTTCATTTTAAAATTATCGCTTAAAAATTTTGAGAAAAATATCAAAATAAAATTTTACTTAAGAATGTCATAATATTGAGAAAATATTTTAAAAATAAGATATTTCTTATTAATTTAACGTATTATATTATTATCTTAACAACATTTAACAATCGGTGTCTATTTTTAATAAAATTCAAAATATTGAGATAATATTTTTTTTATTTTTCCTGAAAATATTAAGGATTCATTTAAAAAAATAAATATAAATATTTTTTATTATATCTTTTTAACTTTTAATTTATAATTATTTATAATCTTTAAGTAGAATAACTAAAAAATTCTATTTAAATCCTTCATGCAAATCGATTATGATTTTATTTAGGCTTAGTATAAAAAAATTATTCAAATTATATCGTTTTTCTCATTTAGGTGTCTATTTTTTTCGGTCAATGTAGATCTTTAATGTTATAAATGTTATCATGTCAATACTTAATATGTTAATTACCGTTAAAAAGTTGTTATCTAATGTGTTGTGTTTATATTTTTATTTTTTTAAAATAAAAAATATTATTTTAAAAAATATATTTTTTAACTCCACCGTCTCTTTCCCTTCCAGGCACAAATTCTCCCACCTCATCCCATTCCTTTCCATTATGAAACACCCACTGTTCACCATTAAATTTAGAAGCTGTCCCCAATTTAAGTTGTTTCTGCCCATTATTCACCAAGCGTAAAAGCAGTCATCCCCCTGAATATATGAATCTTACATTGTTCACACTAAATTTAGGGCTAAGAATTTAGAGGTGTGAATTGTAGATTTACTTGGGCAGATTGTTATTTGTAATTTTTCTTAGTTAGTGTAAGTTGTATTAATTTTAACTCTAATTTAAATTTCAAATGTTTTGTATAGTTGTTAGGTTTCTTAGCATGGTAAAACTCTAGACTGAAGTCTATAAAAGACCAACTCTGTAAACTTTAATGAAAGGAAGAAACACTATAAAACAAACTTGTTTTTTAGTTTCCACATTGTTAGGTATGACTCATAAAACAAACTTTAATTTTGTAATTATGTATCAGGTTTATCTATTATAAATAGAGATGTAACATAAACCTATGAGATATTGAATAAAACTTCTAGCACCGCCTATGCACCGAGGACGTAAGGACATTGTCGAACCTCTTTAAAATTCTTGTGTTCTTTTGTTTTTCTTTACCCGATTCTTCAACACACATGCTATCAACTTAGGTTTCCATTTCCAAAATCTAGCGATGATAAATTTATCTTTAAATGATTCCACTAAATCACAGAATCTACTTTTTGGTTCTGATGATGCTTCTTAATCATTGAATTCAGTTGTTACATGTCTAAAGTTGTTGGACCATAATTACCTTCAATGGCCACATTCTGTAAAAAAAAAATTTATTACTGGAAAAGAGAAGCTAGGTTACTTTTCGAGTGAGATTAAACAACGCTCCACCATTTCACCTAGCTATGAAAAATGGGTACGTAAAAATGGAATGGTCATGTCATGTCTGATCAATTCCATGGCACCTGAGAGAATCTTCTCCTTTATTCTACTGCATAT